CATCTAGCGACAGCCATCCCCTGGCGCTGCTCCGCGCTTGTTTGGGCCAACCAAATAGCAACAAACCTCTCCTGCGTCAGCTGAAGCCAGTAAAGTGGCCGAGTCACCACCCAAGTCCGAGCCCGAGTCCGAGTCCGACTTCGAGTCCTGCAACCGCTCCTCTGCCCCGCCGGGCTGCTCGTTCACAAAGTGCAAGAGAGTATATTTGTTTTGTTATAGAAGCTAGAGACTTTTACTCGTGTACAAATAGATATAAAGATTTCAACTTCGGGGGCAACAAAATGCTGTATCTTCCACAGGTAGAGAGCTAGACTGACTGAATTTGGTTTGAAGACTACTTATCCTCTATTCAAAAGTAATCTGTCGGCACTTGTCTTCAGAGACGAGTATTACGTAGTCGGTTGCATCCGACTGGAACATTCGCTAGTCGCTTTATACGAATTTTCAACGTTCATTTTTATGTGAGCCATTTGTTTGCTTAGCCGATGTGTCTCTGTGTCCAGTTCCCGGCCGGGGGGTCAGTTGGCTTCCTGGATCGGTTGGGGTGGCTTGGGTGGCTTCGGTTTGTGTGTTGCGGCTCTTATCGGCATTTTGCGGTTTTCTCTTTGTTGATTTAGTGGAGCAGCCTGTTGAACTTTTCGCCTCAGTGCGGCTAAAGGACACACCCAATCCCAATGGTTCGAGCCCGTCTCGCCGTCGCCGTCCTCGTCGCCAGAGTGGAGCATTGTTTGCTTTCCTTGCTTGTTAACAGTGGTCGTGGTCTGTTTGCATTATTAAATTGCTGGATACTCAAATACTTTGCATTTCGCCCAATTTCTGCGTCGATATTTCTGTGTACATTGGACCATTTTGGGCTAATAGGGATAACACTCTACCAGAAACAGTTCTCTGTTGTAGGCGTGGCCCCCATATTTCTAGCTCAATTTTGGTTAGCCAACTGCCAATTTGCAGCAACAAAAGTGAACGTGGGCTGATCCAAAGTTGAGGTTTCGAATTTGAATACCCATCTTTATACATCGGGCATAGTTCCCGACTTCAAGCTCTCCATACTAATGAATCATACAAAAAACTAAACAAGTACTTTTCGCTGCTTCAATTTTTAATAACAAAATATTAATCAATATTTTCCCATACAGTGCGCCCTCGCTCAACGAAAACTATAAAACTAATAATGTTAATCCAGTTTTCGAGAAGAGATTACATTTTCAGTAAATATTCGATTACATTTTCAATATATATTCGGATTGATAATACAATACATATTTTATTAAATGGGGAATATATTACATATTACTCTCGACACTTATGATGCATGCACTAGTATTTAATGATTAAGCATTTTATAAGTTTATTTAAAACATTTAAGCAATGGGCTCGGCCAAACAGATAAAAAGGGGGAAAGTATTTACCCATATTAAAGCTACATTTGATTAGAATGGTCATAATAAAAGTATATTAATTGAAAAGGGACTTTCTTAAAAATAACAACGGGGAAATTAAGTTCAGTTCAGCAACGTATTCGTAACATTTTAGTTTACGCAACAACCACCAAAGCCCACACATAGAGGGCGCTTTAGGTACGCGTAACGTTGGTACATTCTGCCTTTTACTTTCTACTGATATCAGTTGGCATTTAAAAGGGTTTGCTCGATAGTTGAAGGCTGTTGGCTCATCCTGAACGGATAATTAATTACATTTGTATATAATATTATTATTATTAATTGATATGCATAAAATCATAGGCATCAAGTGTGTCTTCATTTCGTAATATTTCGGATATTTGGTTATTCGATGCATTATAACATTCAATCTTAGTTTTGTTGTGGGTACAATTCGTTGTCAATAATCTTAGCCGGTACAACAACCATGTCGCTTTCGTTAAAATTGAAAAATATTTATGTGAATCGGCTAAATTTCCCCTTGTATGTGATGTACAAGAACCATGTGACATTCGTTAAAAATGAAGAATATTTATGTGAATGTGAATAAATTTCCCCTTATATGTTATGCTTTTTTGCATTCAAAGAATATGTTAATAGAAAACATTCCATGTAAAGCTTTAGCTTTAATTAATATTGATTCATTGTTATAAACACATTAGTAAGCATTGAAATTCTGAATTCGATCTGATTCTTAATTTTGATACAATTTTGAGTCGAATTTATAAGAAAATCAGTTCCTTAAATGATTTACTTTTCTGAGCTTTTCCAATTGTACATTAAATTTAGAGTAAATTTGTCCACTTTCAATAAAACAATTACTATTTTTTTTTTATCCAACATATATTGGCGTTTATTTATTAATTTTTTGTTGATTTGCTTGAATTTTATGACACTGAAACAGACAAATTTAGCTTCGCTTGCTTTAGATAAGTGTATGTGTATGTGTGTGTGTGTGTGTTTGTGTGTTTATGTGTTTGTGTGTGTGTGAGAGTATTGATTGGTGTTGGAGCCAAGATATTGACTCGTCATAAAGTGGTTTTCCGGAGAACTTCCAGTGTTGGGCAGTGCTATTGAAGGAGAGGGTGTGCGTGTGTGTCTGGCTGTGTTGGTAAGTTTGTTAAGTGTTGCTTGTCAATTCAATACATTCAATATTAGTATATAGTTAATACATATATATATGTTTTGTAATTTGTAATTAGTAATACACATATTTGAAGTATTCGTTTAGGTTTTCTAATGCCGCGCTTAAGGATTACGAGCTTTAATCTTTGGATATTTCATCTCATATATGTTAGTATGTAATGTTTTATGTAATGTAATGCACGATTAATATTTGTTCGGCTAAGAAGGAGCGAGTGATTAGTATGCGTTTTAAACTGTTTGCCTTATGTCTAAATGTAATTTTCATTTAATTTTTTATTTTTTAATTTGCTTAGTAAGCGTTTCCAAAAGTTGATGTGCGTTGAAGTTGAATGTTGTCCGTTTTGGGGCTGTGGTTGTTTTTCTTCTTATACTTTTTTAATCCTTTTTTATGTATTTCTTGTATTTTTTCTTTTATGGCTTAGATGCAATGGAATTTAATTTTGATTTATGCGTTTTAAGTAATGTTAAGTAGAAAATTATGTTATGTTTATGCATTGTTTAATGCTAAATAATTACAAAATAGGCTTAATGATTAGTTTGATTTCTTTAAGCAACACAAAAAGCAAGCCCTGCTTTATATATGCAGACGATCCAATATGCACGATAAATATATGAGAAATGCATGATATTTATTTTTTGAATATTTCTTAGCTTAGTTCAATTACGTAATTCCAAATTTATATTTGCAAATGTCGAAAGATTTTCACTTCTTTTTTTTGTTTTTTTGTTTTAGTTTTTATCGTAAAATATTTTTGTCGATTAGTTTTTGATTTTGATTCGCCGAAAATTGTTTTTATTAAGATATATATTAATTTCAATTGTTTTTGAAAATCCAAGAGTTGGTTTTTTTTTCTGAATACGTTTTTCGCTATTTGAATTACTTGAAAATTTGTCAGTTGTTTTGTTTTTTGTTTCTCTTGTTGTTAGTTCGATTCTTAAACAGTTTGTATATCGTATATATATATATATATATATATTAATTAAATGCCCTTTCTCTAAACGCTATTTAATATTTGTAGTTCGTTTACCATCAAAATTTGTAGTACATTTATATATTAATATAAGTTTCCCATAATGTATAAGCAATATTATCTTTCACAACACTACATTCATATATAAAATCGGTATACCTAGGTAAGGGTTATAGAGTGAGTCGAGTGTGTGTGTGCAAAGAAAATAAGTTTTGTTGATTTTTTCAACTATAAATACAAATAATAATAATAATTAAAAAAAAGTATTTAATTAATTAACCAAATTGTTTAATCTGACATTCTTGTAAATCGTGAGCTACTTCAAATGCTTCGCTATTTCTAAGTTTTGAGCAAATGTTGTTGTGTTCCGTTTAACTCTTGTGATATTCGTGTTTTTTTTAAGCATTTGGTTCATTGTTAATTTGCAAAGTTCAGTCTTCGAGTTTTTAAGGTAGCTTCAGAACTTACAGAACTGTCCCAAAAATAAAAGCTGAAATTAATATGTGAAATAAATAATATAAATAAAAGAACAAGTAAGAGTTTCAATTCAAATTTGATGTGTATTTAGCAAACAAATGTGTCGCAAAAAACTTAAATAATAATAATTAAATCTTAAATACATATTTGACAGTATCAGAAATTGAGGTGTGTGCACATTATCAATATCAGTTTGTCTTAAAGCTTGAAATGCGTAAAAAACTGAAGTGCAGAAACGATTCGTAAATAAATAAAAGAGTGCGCTTTGTGGAGCTTTTGTATAATACAATTTAGAGCTTGTGACTAAGTGGCTTTTTTTTCGCTTTTTTTCTGCTGTAAAATAAATGCTATTTGTGCATTGCATTGAACAAATCTTATTCGCTTGAGTTATGCTTATATGGAAGCGCATTTTAAAAGAAAAACACAAGGATTTGCGGTGTAAATTATACAAAAGAAAAGACTTAACGTATGTGAGATAAAAAATAGTTATCAAATCGAGTACCAATAAAATATTGACTCATACACTGCTAAAAATTATGATCACAAAACTTCGCAAGTCAACAAAAAGCAAAACTCCAATGAATGTGCGCTGGGTTACTTGCCGTCGAACAAAATATAAATGTCATACACATGTGGCATACATATATGATCGTAGTTATAGGATTGGCAGACCATCAAAAATTAAACAATATCTATCAGTTACAATATAATATTATGACTTTGACTTAGGCTACGCAATTAGTGCATGCTTTTGGCATAGATGGCAAAGAAAATCAAACCGAAAGAATCTTACAAGCTAGACATTTATGTTTTTGGGCCGAGAACTTCTTCTGTTTCTCTCGCCTTCTTGATATTTTGGTAGTTCTGCTTGACTTACAACTAAGAAATACAATATTAAAAATTTACGTTATTTTATGCAAGCACACACACAATTGAATTTATAATTAATGTATTATTTGTATATATCTTTTGTTTTTCTTTTCTTTTCGTTTCGTTTTAAGAGTTTTAATTTAAATGCAAAAATTGATTTGCATTTGGTTTTTAGACAAACATTGTTTGGTATTTTCTGTATGTGTGTATGTGTGTGTTTGTGTGTGTATGCATATAAGTATGCTTTTCGACTTTTTTTTATTAATATTTGAAATAGTTAATAATTGTATATATATATGTATGCGCTTTATGCGTTGCTTACTTCTGTGATGCAAATGCTTTTCAAATAAGACTGACTGCATATATACTTATATATATATATATATAAATATATATTAATGTATGTGTGTTTGTGTGTGTGTGTCATTCAACTCCCACGCACTTCATTGACTTGAAACACTAAGCTAAAATGCCACGCCCACTGCAAGCCGCTTACAAATTACACTGCCATAGTATCGTAGGCTGTGAATCCTGCGCCATTTGTTTGTTGGAGTTGGAGTTGTTTTGGGCCGGCTTCGTTTCTGTTGGTTGGGAGGGGGTGGGGGATGGTTTAAACAATTAGCAGATGATCAAAAAGTTGATGCATATACATAAATATATATATCGATTGATATTAATTATTATTATAGTGTCTTGCAACCAAAGCATTGCTTCATATTTACGCCTTTTTATACCCTTGTATGAGCACTTTGTCATGAAATGTTTGACACATAGGAGGACTTCATAGCGCGCACATATATAAATATATATATTCTTGAGCAATCGAGTCATATCTGTTTATCTGTTTGTATGCAAACGATGCACACAGTCTTAAAGCCATGTTTGCGGCATTCGGAGTCGGGCAGATCGGACAACTATATATTAAAGATAATTTTTCTGGTTTGCGAGATGTCTTGTACAAATTTGGCATTTAGGAGCTTCAGCCTGAGAAAATACTTATTATCATCGGACTACCTTATAAAGAACTCCGTTGTTGTCTCCCTTTTATATTTGAGGCCCCATATTCATATGGAATTGAGCCAGGTGTCTACAAGGGTATTTAATCTTCGGCGTGCCGAAGGCAGCTGTGTGTTTTTTTTGGGCGTGTTTCGTATTTGTGTCTCATGTCAAGGCCAAGCGACAAGCGCCAAGCTGCTGGGGACTGTTAGATCCCCGCTCGTAGCAGGTTGCACGAGTTTATTGTGGCAAGACTGTGTTTTGTTTTCTTTGTTAAAGCCTGTTGATTGATTAATTAATATACGAGTATGCTATTTAATCGGAATTTGTATTTCAAATGATAAATGCTTTGGGTACTTTCGAAACACTCAACTGTGATTTGCTTTCAATTAACCGAGAAAAAAGAAAAACAAATCAAATATAATCGAATCGACAATAAATAATAGACAAAAACAACAAAAGCGTTATCGATTAAGTTCGGCATGCACATTTAGTTAGAAGGGCTTTAGTGGGCATGTTTATATAAGTATATGTACACGGGTTTAACTGCGACCAGGACATGCAAAAGCGTCGACATTTAGTTACATAACTTAGCTTAGGTTAAAACTTACAACTGCCTGCGACTACGTAGTCAGTGTGTCATTAAATGTTAATTCATAATGAAAAAAAGTACAAAATACTCAGAGTTAGTAGCTGCATAACGTACAAGTAGTAGTTCTTCTTCTGCAATCGAAAACTGCACAGAAAATATTTAAATAAAAATAAGTCATGAAATTTCAATTCCTCTACTTTTCTCTGAATAGGCCAGTCTTTAAGGCAACTGAACTGCATGGTTCCATGCGAAGTCAGATCGAATATAGTTACTCTATTTTCTGTGCACTTTAAGTTGGTAAACATACTTTTGCATGGATTATACCAGTATTGGGTATGCTTTCAATATGTTTCGATATGTACTCGTTTCTTACCTCTCGATTAATTTACGCATCTCTTCGGTGGTGCGTTGATCTTTCGGTTGTGGTGATCTTTTTACAGCTGTACGTTTTTGGTTTTCATTATAGCATTTATTTTTTGTAATTGTATTTATTTGTTGTATTGTTTTTGAAAACGACAAAAAATTGTGTGTTTAAGTACCCCAACAAAATTGAGCAACCGAAGTAGAAAGTTTATAGAATATCAAAGTATGTAAAAGAAAATAGAAAGAAAACGCAAAATAAAAAATTTAAATAAAACTTTTCTTATGGTTCAAATAATCGCTATTGATTTGATTTGACGTGCAAAAATTATATAAAAAACCTTTCTTTGTTATTGCTTAAATATTCATCTAAAATTCTTATGTATCTAACTTATTGTTCTTATGGTTTTCTAGTCGGACACATGCGATTTTCTAGACACATGAATTCAATGAAATGAGATTCTATGAAAATCAATTAAAACTAAACTTAAATCCGATATTAGATACAAAACATAAAACATTGAATGGTGCTGTAAAAAGGAAACCCATTCAATTTTGGGCCGTGTGCCTTATAAAATGAAATGGAAATGGAATATTAAATTGTGCATATTTAAATCAATTTAAGAACCAAAACCAAAGTTAATACATATTTAACACAATAAAAACAAGGACGAACAAAATTGTTTTGAAACTTTAGCAAAACACAGCATGAATATTCATAATGATGAACATATTATCAACTATCGCTAAACATGATTCATGGATGACATGAACAGGGAATGAACTGAGGATTGGAGGAGGATCACATTCCTGATATGAGATCGTGGACAGACTCATAAGACTATTGCGAAGAATGAGGTGAGTTGTGATAATGTTTTTCGTTGGGGAATTCAAATTCAATTTAAATACTAAGTTAACTGCGATGGGCGATTTAATTTCACAACACTCACCCTCATTGGAGTCTTCTGACAGAGATTAATATTTGAATGTAAAAACGAATTTTGAAAGGGAAATTAAGAACATGTCGAATTGTCGTGTTAAAAATTAATGCATTTTCAATTGAGCACAGCAAACATTGAAATATTTAGTTTTGAATTGAAGTGGGGGCTGGGGACTTCTCTCGACTGATCTTCCGACACTTACCACCATAGTTGCCGCGTGGTCCATGATCGCGATCGCACTCGGCCTCTGAGATCTCGTTGCTCTCCTTGGAGTCATTGAACGAGGAGTTGCTCATGTCATGGTTACGTGGTGGTGGTGGAGGTGGCTCAGGCGAGCCATTGCCTGGATTGCGTGCAGAGCCTGCGGAAATAGGATTTAAATGTAGTCAATCGATCAGATGTGCTTTTCAATTCTCAGTCTCGCATTTACCAATGCTACGACGTCCCATTGAACCGCGGGATCCATAGTGATCGTAGGGCTGACCATAGGGACCACCATACTGAGAGCCGTACTGATCCTCCTCAGGTGCGCAGTTGGCGGGATCATCATATTCGGGTCCGGGTCCAGAGTACAAGCTGCCGCCCTGAGAGTTGACACGTGTGTAGCGGCGCTTTGGAATCCGAAAAAAAAAAAACAATAAGCTACTCTCCTTGATATGCTTTCAATATAGGCGCTCTTACGTATTGATCCTCTTCGGCGCAGTTGGCAGGATCGTCATATTCGGGTGCTGGGGTATAGATCGAGGACTGGCCGCCTTGGCTGTTCTTGCGTTGGTAGCGATTGGCACGAGGCATCGATTGGGATCCAGAGCGAGAGTGCACATGTCCGGGATGACCAGGTGGCAGCATGGTACCGGCATGTCCGGGTACGGGCGTGTGTCCATTCTGATGCGGGAAGGTCTGGAAGTTCATGGCCTTGGTGGGATCCATTTCCTCGCGGAAGCCGAGCAGATGGAACGTAGCATAGGGGCAGATCTCATCTTCCATGCCTTGCGAGAAGAGAGTTCGATTAGCAACAGTTCCACATGCTCCCCAGAGCGGATTGTTTGGTGTCTTGGTATTTGTTTTAGTGTTTTAGTACGAGTAGAGCGACCTGCCAGACAGAATGGCTTGGCCTGGTATCTTTTACTTACGTTAAGCAGCTCGAAGCGACCGGGCTTAGACTACAATGGGTTAGTGGTCTTTAAAAAATGAATCTCAATGAAAAGTTAAATGGGAACGTGGTTTGGTATTAGTAGTTGGGATGCATACGAAAATGAATAGCTTGACAAAATCAAATGGGGGACCACTCCTACCTGGATGTCTATATTGGCACTCGGGAGCGCCATGGGCATGGCCGTAGTGATTGCCAATGCCATGCATGGGCACTGGGGGTGCTTTCAGTTCCTCGTACAGATTCGGATTACGGCGTGGATCCCAAGTGGAGTGGTTCGAGCGCAAGCCACCGCGGCCTGAACCGGTTCGGGTACGTGTTCGTGTTCGTGTTCGTGTTTGGTGTCAAGTGTCGTTTGTGTTGGTGTAGTTTTATTTTTTATTCAATTTCCAATATTCATACAACATCAACGATGAGTCAACGGAAAAATTAAATAATTGAGGCAACAGCAACCGAAACGGAGGGGAGTCGGAGTTATGTCGGGGAGAAATTCAAATAATAAATAAATAAGTAATTAAAACAATTAAAAACAAAATCATATTAAGATTTATCTAAATTCAGCACAACATTTAATAATACGAGTCTTGGTTCAGATCGCGTAGGGAGCCTCCAAATTATAAGAAGCAATTTTTAAAAAGCGACATTAACAATTTCGTTCTGAGAAAGCGTTGCGGCGTGTTCTTGTATGTGCACGTGTCTGTGTATGTGAGATGGGCGTGGCAACGCCCCACGAGCGACCTAAGGTCTTCAAGTTCATTGTGAATGCAAAAGCAAGGCAAAATATCAAATACTCTATTCTTTTCTGCTCAGTTTTCTTTTCAAACATTTTGTACGCAAAGTAAATGGAAGACAAAAATAAGCCTCAGCCAATGCGCAGTGAGTGCCCCTAACAGCCTTTGGGTTGGGCTGGGGTGGGGCTCCGCTGGCATAGTCCTGGCATTAATAAATGTTGCATTGGAAATTTAGATGCTTACTTATGACTGTACCTCGCTTAATCCGGTCGCAGGTGTTGTAGTTGGAGCCGGGCACAGGTGGCAGCTTCCGGTTCGGTGGTGCGATATAGCCGAGCTCGTCACGGAGATCCGGGCGGCGTTTGTCCAGGGTGGCGCCGGGTCCCATTGTCTGATTGTAAACTACATCGTCTAGAATTAATATACGATATCGCGAACTCAATAGTGAAACACTGAAGATGCTTTTCCTTTTAATGTTGCTCAAAGATCAACTCGCATACTTTACTTCTGTTTTTCGATTCAATCAGCTTTGTTCCGTCACTCACAATATTTGGGATTTTATCAATTAATTAATTTTTTTTTTTTTTTTTTTTTGGTGCGGCATCTCAACACGCTAAAGTGCTAAATAGTAGCTCAAAGAGTACAAGTTTACAATTGCATAAACGGAATTACGTGAGGTGTCTTTGATTTTTTTTTTTTTTTTTTGTCAAAATATACCAACTTGTTTGCGAGATATAAGAATTCATGATATAATGACATGAAATGAGAGATGATTTTAATTTTGAGTTTAAAATTTACTTTACTTTACTTTACTTTAGCATTATATTCATTTGCGATTTCAAAAAGCATCTTAGTTTTAGTTTCTCTTGAAAAAATTGATTGAAAATGTGTAAAATGAACAACAACAAAAAGTGTCGATAGAAAGTTGTACAGTGAATAGGAGAATTTGTTTGTTGTGTGTAGAAACTGTTAAAGTTGCTTACGTCATAAGCAAAACGTATTTACAACACTGGAGATTAATATATATATATATATATATATACTATATATGGGATATGTGTATGTCTATGGTGCGGATGCTATTTACTTGGCTTACAACATTATTTCTTGAATTTAATGCCAGAATAATGGAGGGATTAAAATCAATAAATCAATATCGCAAAATATTTATACAAATGTCAATATTTTCTTAAAATAATTTTCCAATATCTGTTAATGGCGATGGAAAACTGATGGTAGTTCTATGAGTATTATATGAGTATAACAGAGATATATGAATGTACTTATACACACGGAATACACATTAAATATGTATACATATATATGAGTTATTTTGGAATATATATTTAATATGTTTTTAAAGTATTTTGTTGGTATATTTTTGTAAAAGTTTTGGTATTTTTTGTGCGTGTATTCTTGAGTTCGTGTCAGTTGTAGTCTGAATAATATTTGATCAAGCTGCGAATAATATGTATATCATGCTTTAAATGGTTTATACTAAAACTAAACATTGACATTCCAAAATGATTAAAAAGTTACCAGAATTCTTGCAGAGTGACGGCATTTGAGATATATGTATTTACGTAACCTGGTCCTCGTGTTGACATTGTGCGTTAATTTTAATGCACAAAATTTCAATTTAACAATTAAACAATTGAGCGATAGATGCGCAACAATGTTCAACACTTGAGAACCATAAAACAGAAATAAAATTTGTCGAAAATAATATGCTTTCTGTAGAAATAGTACACTTGCTCTCCTGTGCATTGGGGAGCACAGACAAAACCTACAATATACATCCTTTTGGCCGCCCCGCATATCATCTGCACGCCTTCGGGAGAGCGCCACGCAGACAACACAGATGCCAACGGCAACCACAACAACGGTGGCAATCAATGGCACCATAAAGTTCAGATCCAGCCACTCGGGCATCCAGGCGGGCAGGGGAATCCGGGCATGGACATTTCCATGGCCCGTGCCGTCGTCGAGAGGCGCAATTGTGCCTTTGGTTTTGTTTTTTGATTCAGATTCAGATTCGGTTTCGGATACGGATTTGTTATACAAACCGTAATGGGGCATGCAGTTACAACAACAGAGCAGGCAATTTCATAGCCAAAATATTTAAGATATTTGTTGATTGTTGTAAAAAGGAAAAACATAAATATGTACAGATACAAAAAACGGAAAAGCGAAGTGTGTTCGTTTTGCGTTAACAGTATGTTGAAAGATAGAGAAAGACAGATGGAGAGGAACCGAAAAAAAAAAGAAATATGTAATTAGTTTGATATACTTATAGATACCTTTGTGGTGATTGCCTTTGCTACGCAGTATACAAATAACAATTATCGCTATGATTATGACGAGCAGAGCCGCCACGACCGGCACTACTAAATTTAGGTTCGATAGAATTATTCGGATTGTATCCTCGGCGCTTAATTCTGGTAAATCACGCGAGGGTGCGATTGTGCCTGCAACAACAACAACAACAACCAAAGTGTTTCACATGTAGACCCAGACAGGGAGAGAGACAGATAAATATATATATGCATGTATGTATATAAAGAGAGATAGTAGAGAGAGACAGAGAGAGAGAGAGAGAGTGAGAGCAAGTGAGAGGGAACGTTCAATAGTTTGCAAATTAAAAAGGCACGCGAACCATTCGCGATTGATTCGCCAACAATTCGCGATTAATTCGCAAAAAGTTGACGATCAAATCGCCAACAATTCGCGAACAAATCGCCAACAATTCGCTCGCTCTCTTTGCCCTTTCGCCTTCTTCCCGTACATTGACTTTTGTACCCAGACACTAGTCGACTAGTCGAGCATACTTGTTTGTCAAAAAAAACACACACTTAAACAAATACATTAACAAATAGAAATACGATTAATAACTTTGATTTGATTTGAGTTGAGTTGAGTTCGCATAATCTTTGTAACGTGTTCGGAAATATTGTAGAAGTGTCACAAATAGTTGAGAATGTAAATTAATTATACATTTAATTAATATTTAGAATTTATTTTACAATGCGCCGAACAGAACGCAACATAATGTTTGTGAATATTGATATGAAAACTATTTTAACTATTATTTTATAAATTGTAATTATATAAAAAAAATCAACATCGTTTCAATACGTTCAAATGCAATTTGTTTTTTATCCGTAATATCTTACAACTAGTTAAGTAAATAGTTAATACTATGATCTCGAAACGCTAAAACGCTTTTAAGCAAGTTAACAAATTCATTTAACGGCATTCCAAGTGTAGCAGCTTTCGATAGTATGATTACGAGATTACGATAACGAGAACGTGAACGAAAGATGGCCCACTGCCACTTCTGTTGAGGTAACTTCAAATAAAATTTGTAAACACTAACTAACTTAGGTGGAACTCAACTAGAACTTGATGACAGAACTGAATTGTAATCGAAATAAACATTTGTGTGTAATGAATGCACATATGTATGTTTTTCTTATCCTTTTCTTCTTGATCTCAGCTCTCATGTGAACCCTTGCTAACATGTTGGATGATGGATCTTTGGTTGTTGTGCTTTCGGAAATGTGTTTGCGCTTTGGCTCTGCTCGGTCTCAATTTGAGTTTCTTTGGCTTTTATCATTTGGTTCAAGCAGATTAAATGAGCATTTTGCTATTGTCAAAAACAAAACAAAAAAAAACGACACTTAAAAATATTCTAACTAAAAACCAAATAAAACAAAAAAGGAATCAAGAACCTAGTTACGAATGCATGAACTAATAAAATTGCGTGAATTTAATGTGATCAGTTGTGGAAAACTCTGTACAATTTCCGCTGAATAGAATGGTATTAAAGAATTAATTATTTCAAAAATTAGTCCTTCAAAATCCTTCCGTATTTTCGCTTTTGCTGCAGAGAGAATTTATTACTTAAGGATTTTGCAAATAATTGAGCAATTTACAATTCGAATTCTTATTCAAGCGACACTTTCGTGTCCTACTAGCAGCGAAAGGGAGCAACAGGGGGTTACAACATCAATTGATCATATCAGACCAGGCAGTACAGATTCGAATGCACCTTGACGCCTTGGTCTGTTTTGAAATGTACAAACAAAATAGATCTCCACAGACTGGACACATAAATGCAATTAACAGAACTTGATGGACATGATATACAAGTGAAAAACGAAATGAAGAAATCACATAAATCAATATGGTATTCTAAGTACCGTGGTCGTCTAGAGCACTACGTTTGTCTAAAGGTACGCAGAAAATAATAATAAAATGATGAATTAAATAATAATTAAATTCATGATTTTAATCAATGAGTGTGGCTGGTGAGATTTATGTTAAGCTATTTACGTTAAAGTTTGTAGCATTTGCATTTGCTGTTCTTGGGATTTGTACACATTAATGGTATTTTATATAAAAACGTAAAAAACAAATTGCATTTACGCAATAAAAACATCTTTTGTACATCGTTCAATGCCGTTGCGATTCAAATTTTGGCATATTATCGAAATTACAACTTATAAAATCAACACAAACAATTTTTTTTACTATGTGTGACAAGCTTGTGGTTGAAATAGAATAAAATTAAAGCAAAATCTGCTAATCAAAATTAAAATAATTACTGTGCAATTTGCTCGGGAAAAATGAAATCAAAAATTGAAATTTGCTCATTTTTAGTTTTTTTTTTTTTTGTGAATTTGGTTTAAAAACATTTACAACTCAGGGAAAGTGTTTATGCCTAGATTGTTATTTGTATATGGACAATGCTGTCGGGGCGTGTCGTCTGGCTCTTCATTTGGCAGTTCCTGTGGCTTCTGCCCAAATGGAATCGCAGCCGACGCCCCAACAACATTATCAACGTAGTTTTCTATGTACAAAAGCAATGTGAAATATTTGAATTGGAAAACAGATCGTAAATACCTCCGGTTACGGTGAGAGTGGCAAAATCGTATTCGGCAACAGTGAAACCAGCCGAGTTGTGGGCGGTAATGCGCAGATTGTACCAGGTGGCGGGCTCCAGATCGAGTACAACGTAGTTGTTGTCGGGCTTAACATTATTTGAGATTTGGTTCCATTCCAATTGATCACTAGAAAACCAAAGGTTTAGTCTCGTTTAACGAGGCAATGTGAGCTGTACTCAAGGAGATACCGTTTCTTGCTCTCGACAACAAAGTGGGACATGGGACAGCCTCCATCTTTCCAGGCCTTGAAGTGCAGCGAAACCGAGTTGGATGACACCTCAATGAAACGTGGTTTCTCTGGCAGTTTGGGCTTCTGGCCCTTGGTGCGTGTGTTCAGAATGTCGGAGGCTTCGCCGGCGCCAATACTGCAGAGACGGTTCCAGCAGAGTTAGAGTAGAATATAGTTAGATTATTTTGTGCTCGACTCACTTGTTGAAGCCTGTGGCGTAGACCTGATAGCGTGAGCCGCATAGCAAGTTTTCAATATTGTGCTTTTGGGATTCTACAGAGACCTCAGCTGTTTCCCACTCGCCGAATTCTGCGAATATTTTTCGGTTATTAGCAAAAAATTCCACAAATTATTTATCGTCCTTGTACATACCTGGCTTGTAATGCAATGTGTAGCCATGCAGGGGAGCTGTATCGCCCTCATGGGGCTTCAGTCGGACGGTCAGGGCGTCGGTGGTGGTGGCCGAGAGCGTGACGTGAGGTGACTGAGGTGGTGCCAATACGATGAGCTTATGGGTAATCGAGTCCTTTGCAATGGAGTTCTCGGCATGGCAGGAATAGTCGCCGGCATCCTGGCGGTTCACCGACTTAATCAATAGCGAACCATCGGGCAATAGGCGCATGCGATCGTTGGCACTAAAGTCAACGCCCTTAATCTTCCATGTGATCTCGGGCTGAGGTGCTCCCACGGCCAAGCAAGGCATTTTGGCGTCTTCCTTGAATGTGGCAGTGAACGTGTCGTCGAAGGAGGCGATCTTGGCGGGCACCTGGTCGCTGGGCATGGCCACGATGCTCTTCGACTGCTGGCCCTCGCCAATGGTGGTACTGGCCGTGACCCAGAATTCGTAGGGCTTGTTCTTCTCCAGTTCAGTTGCCTCGAAGCTCATTTGATAGTGCGGTACCTTTTGGGTTTTCGTTTCAGTCTCTGCACCTTCAGCCTTCGAGTAGACAGTGTATTGGGTGATAATGCCGTTGGGTTGTGCTGGTGGGCGCCAGGATACCAAAATGGCGGCATTTCCCATAACCAAAGCCTTGACATCGGTGGGCGCTTCGGGAACTGTTCAACAGAGAGCAGGTTGCAATTAGGACTGAAAATTCAGATGTGTCAGAAGTGGACCTACCATCGGGTTCGGTCTGGCAGTGAATGGGCACGCTGCGAACTCCATCGCCTCCGGCTGTGGTGGCCAGCACCTGCATGGTATAGTTTGTGTACTTCTTCAGGCCATGGAGCACAGTGTCGGAGGAGGCAGTCTTCTTGTAATGGCGCTTGGTCTCATCTACGATGTGGACTTGTCAATGGGATCGTACATTATATGGAGGGCACACTTCTACTTACCGTACCACTCTTCGCTGGGGGCATACACAACCTTGTAGGTCTTGATCACACCGTTGGCCGACTCTAGAGGTGGGCTGACCCAGCTGACGCGAATGGTTTGCGAGGTCAGAGTCGTGCAGGCAGTGTCGCTGGGGGGCTGGCTGGGTGTGCCTTCGGCGGTAAACTGTTTCTCCTCATCGCTCAGAGGACCTGCGCCGATCTTATTGAAGGCCTGAATGACCACCGAGTACTGAGTGTACACGCGCAGATTGTTCAGTTCCAAGCTGTGCTCCTTGCCCTCTTCGGTGATGAAATTAATGGTCTCAAAAATATAGGAAGAGTTGGTGTTGGATAGCTTGTAGCCGACATAGTAGCCAAGGATTTCGCCGTTCCAATCAGAACGTGGTGGTGGCTTCCACATGACGCGCAGCGTTGTCTGATTAACTGGATCAACTTTGATGTTTTGGGGCTTGCCCGACGGTGCCTCTTCGGCTGTGATAATGGTTACGGCCTCCGACGATTGCGAGGAGCCAATCTCATTCTCAGCCACGATGCGAATATTGTAGGTGGTGGCAGGGCTAAGTTTCTGTACTTGCGCTTCGGTTGTGTGTCCGGGAACCATAACGCGATCGATCTCATCCCAGGATGCTCGTGAGCGTTTGAACTCAATAATATAACGATTCAGTGGGGAGTTTCCGTCGTAGGGTTGGGCCCAGCTTAGCTGCACGGAGCGACCAGATTTGTCCAGAACCTTCAAAGCGTACGGCATTTCCGGCACTTCCTGCACAATCATATTTATGCTGGCATCGTCCGAGCCAAAGGCATTGGTGGCCACACAAGTGAATAGCGCGGAGTCAGAGCGTTCGGTGCGTTTGATAGACAAGCTGGACATGACGCCGGCAGAGAGTATTTCCTCGCGAATCGTGTAGCGATTGTCGTTCTTGGGGTCCAGGCGCATGTTGTTCATGTTCCACAAAATGCCGATGGGCTTCTCACCCTTTGCCTCGCACTGCAACACGGCCGGTTCGCCTCTACGGGCGGTCTGATTGCGCAGCTTCTCCGTGAACTCTGGTGGCGCTTGGACACTGACCATAATTACGGCTGAGAGTCCCGAGCCGATGCCGTTGATGGCCTCACACAAGTAGTAGCCCTCGTTAGTCTTCTGTATGTTGTCAATGTGCAGTGTGCCCTCCTCGACGCGAATGTTGTCGCTCTTCTTCAAATCCTTGTACTCGCCGGGTGTATCGCCTGTGGAGTGGAGATTTTATCATTAATTTTTGATGTTTTCTGTTTAGTTTTATTTTGTTTTTGCTTACCAACTGCTTTTTTCCATGTCACTTGGGGCTTGGGGAAACCGTCAGCTTTGCACTCAACCTTGGCATCGGAGCCCTGGGCGAAGGCTTTGTCTGTTGGCTCGAGTATCCATCTAGGTGGCACTGTTGTTGTTGTTGTTGTTTTTGATGTGTAGGGTACAGAAATAGAATATATTAGTATGCTTGTTGCGGATGCTTTCCTAAATTATAACAATTAGCATGCGGCACATGGGTATCATATTTTGACATTCGGATGGACGGACTTTGTTTTGCACAAACTGAAATGATTTGATTATTTCAAGTATTTTTTAGAATATTTTATTCATTTCAGTTTCTTGCAACTTAGTGGAAACATTCGTATAATAATCGCAAGTAATTTGAAAATTGTCACATATTTCATTTATGCTTTTAATATATTAACGATAATTTAAGCGTTATTATAGATCTGTTTCGACTATTAACTTAAACTTTAGTTGAACTCATAAGCCAAACTACAACCAAAGATATTAGCACAATTAATTAACCAAATTGTTAAAGGACAACCGAAAGGAGGTTTTTAATTAAACAATAATTAGTAACAAACTAAAAGATAAACAACATGCAATTTGTGCAAAACGAAGCGCTGTTTGTGATTGTCTTTAAAACGATTTTCGATTCTTTTGTAAATTTATTCTGCAAACAGACTTCGTTTTGTGACTTAAGCGCTAAGTAAATTATAGACTACAATAAAAATGAAAGTAATTAAAGTCAAGGATGAAGGGATTTAGGTTGGACTGATGTGGTGTGGGATGGTTATGGCGGGAACGTAGCAGGGACTTGTGTTTCACTGGAGCGTACAAATGTATCTTTAACTGTTATTTCAAGCGAACAGATTCAGACTGCACAGTGGGCTGATATTGTTATTAATATTAAGTAGACAATTAGAAGCGATAAATATGCGAGTTGTTATTGTTGTTGGCAGTTTATTCGGTGTTGGAGCATGAGCCTGTTCAAATCGTAATGTACAAAACCGAATTGAAAATAAAAACATATTCAATATATATGTGTCTATATATCGTACAGAAAGCTCAAAGCAAGTAGCAAGCTGTGAGTCCTTTCACACATCTGGTAGTACAGTGCGTATACGTATTTGTGCGTAGTATGCATGTGTGTGGGTGTGTGTGTGTGCTGCTGGTTATAGTGTATTTGAATCTGAGCTGTTTTGCCATATAGGAGCTTATTCGGATGCGTTAAGATTAGGTCGGAACTAACATTGCGTCTGTATGGCATTCCCAGAGAGGAAAGTTGTTGGGTGTTTATTATAAGTACTTATATACAGTGTCTAGTTGGATGGTAAAACTTTGTTGGTAGACCTCAATCGAACTCGTTTAAATAGTCTTTGGCCCAAAGAGCAAAATATGCAAAAAGTCGAAACTCGAGAAAATCTGGATTAGCTGAAGGGAAATGGAAAATCGCTGATTTTTTCGCCAAACTTTTTTGATTCCACTTTACCATTGACAGTCAGCATGGCCTGCCGCTGGGCCACGCCCACATGATTGCTGGCCGAGCAGCTGTAGTTGCCTGCATGGTGGGCCTGCGCCTTGTTGATCAACAACAGGCTCGAGTGCTCACCCACGGTCGCCTGGGTGGCGTCCGCGTCGTCATCGTCATCGTGCAATGGCCTCCCGTTGAGCCGCCACTCAAATCGAATGGGCGTGGCACCTCTGCTGGCAATGCACGTGAGTTGCACATAGTCGTTGACATCACAAACGGACGTGGAAAGCGACAGGGCGGCCAGCAGAGGCGGCTCTAAAGCAGCGTCAAGAGTGCCGAACAAAAAGGCAGTGCAAGGCAATAAAAGTGTTACTAAAGTTGACAGCCCATCAATTACCAAACGTGATCGAGTCTATAATGAATGTCGACAGTGCGTTCCCAAAGATTCTAGGAGCTGACTGTATATTGTCAAGTTCGCTGTCTAAGTCTTTTGATTTATGAAACAAGCTCTCCATATTGAAATAGTCAGAGATGAGTTGTTGGACTAATTGTCGGTAAACTGAGCACAAAGTTTTGGGATCGAACTCCCTCGAAGCCAGAAAACCAAAAACAAGCTTGGAGACTGTCTTTTGTTGTTGGGCACAAATTTTAAACAAAGAAAAACTATTTACAAATGATAGACCTCTAAATTAAATTATTATGAAATTAGGAATGTACCCTTCACTTTAAGCAGAGACCAGCGACTGGCGAGACCCGCCGTATTGCTGGCCACGCACGTGTAGTTGCCCGAGTCGCTGATGGCTGTCTGACGCAGGGACAGGATGAGCGTATACTCATCGATCTTGTGGTATATGGAGCGCAGCAGGGGCTGTCCGTCTTTCAGCCAGAAAATGTCGATGGGCAGATCTCCCGAGGTGACCATGCACATGACACGCACCGCTTGGCCGCCATTGACGCCGTTGGCATTAAAATGGAACTGTTCAATTTGGGGCAGTTCTGAGCGGTTGGGGGGACACACAAAAGCCGTGCATGAGTAGGTGTTAATATATAATACAAGTTGTGCTTATGCAAACCGACACCAGGGCAAACACAGAGAAACACATATGACAGAGAGAGAGAGAGAAAGAGAGAGTGGGCATATTATACAGTTGCTGCTTTATCTAGGAGCTACAACTACCAGGCCAAGTCGTAATGCTGTACAGGAAACAAACCCTTAACACTGAGTTTCGTCTCGGCGATCGTGTGGCCGGCCCCATTGGCACCCATGCATGTGTAATTGCCCGCGTGGCCGCCCTGCACGCTCTCAATATTCAGAGAGCTGCTACGCCGGCCGTGCATCAGAATGCTGACGCCCGGCAGCTGCCCAGCCGGTTGCCCATTGTAGTACCAGGTTATGTTGAAGGGGGCATCTCCGTGCACCACGGCGCAAGTCACTTGATAATAGTCGCCCACATAAAGCGGCGAATTGTTTGGAAGTGGCGCCAGTTTTGGTGGCACTTTGAAGCAAAATTAAAAGAAATAATAATAAAATGAACTTTAAGATGGAGCAATCTAAAGAAATATCCTGTTCCCGAACTCAGGTTAAGCTAAAGAAATTGCGTGACTTTTGAATCGGTCCAATTTTCATCCAAATCTAAACCTATCATAGATATGCCTAAAATATGCCAGCCTAGTGAACTCTTACATGGAACTGAAGAAGGTGCAATAATTTTTGTTATATTGTACATGCAATCCTTTTGGTGCGACTAGACACAGAGTGAGACAGAGATACAGAGCGAAAAAGAGACAGAGACATGCAGCCGAAATATGATAGACGCATTGGGTTAGTAGCAACAAACTACTGCGGAGGAATTAATGGCTCATAATTTCTTGTACTCTACGCATCCTAACCATAGACATTGAGCAGCGTCGTGAAGCGCTGATGGCCAGCCAAATTCTTGGCGTGGCACGTGAAATTGCCAGCGTGTGACGCCTCAACGGCCTCAATGGTCAGCACGCTGCTGCGGCTGCCAACGCTGGATGTGCTGATGCCCAGCTGCTCGCCAATCGATTGGCCATTCAGCGTCCATTCGATTTGCATGGGCAAATCGCCCACGGGCACTGAACAGTGCAGCGTTAGGTACTGGCCCACCTGGGCGGGGCCCTCCTCGAAGGCGAAGGGAATGATGCGCGGCAGAACTGAACGTATTTGGATGGGAAAGAACCGAAATAATAGAGTGCGCAAATGAAAAAGAGAGCGTATGCAAAAATATTCTACGTAATTAAATAAGGTATTTAGCATAGAGTCTTCGCTGCACCTATGACCTTCAGCTGGGTGCTGTAGGAGGCTTTGCCAGCGGCATTTTCGCCATGGCAACTGTAGTTTCCGGCATGCTTTGCTGCCACGCTCTCGATGGTCAGAACGCTGCTGCGTCTGCCCAATTTGGCAATGAGTATGTCCTGATCATCGTCATTGAAGAGCGGCTGCTTGTTAAACGTCCAGCGTATGTTCAGGGGCAAATCGCCCTCGGTGAGGGTGCATTGGTAGGTTATATACTGGCCCAGATGCGTGGGCTGAGCGCTCGTGGCAAAGGGCGTTATTTGGGGTAGTACTTTTTGGGTATGAGCACAACAGAAAATACAAAAAAAAAAACACAAAAGATAACGTAAATATGTAGGCTCTACTATATGAAAACTAAAACTACAGCAAATCTATGGCCAACCATTCACTATTAGCGCCGCCGTATACTCCACGGTCTGGGCACTGTTGCGGGCCCGGCACGTATAGTTGCCGGCATTGTTGCCGTTCACGGAGTCGATGGTCAGAACGTTGACCTTTTTGCCTATTTTAGAACTGGTCACGCCATGGTACTCGTTGATGGCATAGTCATTGAATAGCCAGTATATATCCACGGGCAGATCGCCTTTGGATATGGTGCATTGCACGGTCACCGAGTCGCCAAAATTCGCTGGCTCGTCCCCAAACTCAAAGGGTGTTATATGAGGTGGCACTTGATCAAAGTTGAGATGGGAAAGAAGGTGTAGGAGTTAAGGTGGTGGCTGGTAAGTTTCGTAAAGTTCGTTGTGCCCTCAAGTTCGTTGCCTAAGTCATTTGATATACTCGTCATACTTGATTCAAGCCAAAACAAGAAGCCAACACGTCAATCAACTAAAGCCAAAGCAATCATGCATTTTCTGTGTTTAAATGTGTGACTTACAATTTCGTTGGTGTAAATTATAAAAGAAGTACACGAAAATCAAACCAATGAAAAAAAAAACCGAAATTTACATTCAGGTGCTGTACAAATCTCGCTGTACCATTGACAAAGAGCTGGGCTGTGTAGACTGACGAGGCCCACAGATTTCTAGCCTTGCACGTGTAGTTGCCGACGTGACGTGCATTGACCGCATCGATCATGAGGACACTCAGGCGTTTGCCCATTTTGGAAGTCGAAATTCCCGAATAATGATTGATGGGATAATCATTGAAGAGCCACTCGATGTCTAGCGGCAAATCGCCCGAGCTAACCAGACAGTTCACGGAAACTGAATCCTCGAAATTTACGGGCGCTTCGCCAAAATCAAAATGCGCTATTTTGGGTGCAACTAGTGAAGAATTCAAGGGGACATGTTACTACTGTATAGGCGGCTCTCTAGTTGGGTATTTTTTG